TTACCAAACCAAAAATTAAAATTATTTTACGTAGTTCCAGAAGTAATTGTTCAAGAATCCGGATGGTATTTATTATACTACTGTTGGCTGTGATTAGTATGACATATCATGAAGTCATAAGCCCACAGGGAGCTGGAGACATTATTTCTTGCTTATTGTCGTGATCATGAATTGCAACCTACGCCATTGACCGGATGTGATAATCGTGCAGTCGGTCTCTGCTCATAAAATTCGGTTTCCACACAGTAAAAGATCGCCGATGAGTTTGCTTACGTAATTATGACGCTTGTTGTTGCAAAAAAAATGACATCCACCACAAGAATCCATTGTAGTATTGGTGTCTTTAATTATTGTATCCTTGTTGGCAGCCCAAAGCGGTGCTTCCTTACAGTATAGGAGTTCCATAGCATCTACAGAAAAATAGGAAATTTGTTGGTGATACTATATAAACACCTCTCCGTTGGACCATCCGGAATTAGTTTTTTTACTTAACTATTCCTGAAACTGAATTAACTAAAGAAAGTTTCAGCAAACAGCCTTTGAGTTATCTTAGTTTTTAATAAGTCGACCTTCAAGTCATCTAAGTGGCTATTTTTTCGAAGAAGTTTGAAATGTTCGCAGGCAAACTTTTGCTCCTGTTTGGAGCCGTCCTGGCTCTGGTAGGAAGTGCAACAACAGCTATCGGTCAGTATCACCGTTTTTATACTAAATTGATAATGTGCATGCAGATGCAAGTAGTTTCGGCCGGTATAAGAAACTGTTTTAGCTATATACGACTACGCAGCAACGATAGTACAACCAAATTTTCAGTCCGTCAGAAATCCTTTGTTGTTTTTATATAATACAATTATATGTTTTTATATAGGAAACCGTTATAGGCACCCCCTAAAACCCCCGTTTATTATAGGCACCCCTTTTCACACCCCGTTAATTATAGGCACCCTTTTTTGAATTAAAAGTTATAATAATATTATGTGAAAGGAATATAATTCACATATTCCAAAAATTTATTTTATCATTTTATACAGTTGCTATGACCGTAAAAATAACAGACCATATACAACTATATATATATCTATATATAACAGAATTTGTATTCTTAATTAGTAATGCAGTTTTATTCGGATAATAGTACAGCAATTTTTTCTGGCATCGAGTTAAGTACAAGTACATCAGGCTTTCCAGCCTATAATAGGACGGTTAGGTAAATCAGCCAGCCTACAATGCGAGCAAGAAAGGAAGCTACGGGTTTAGGGTGTGCGTTCTAGCGAAGACAGCGAAAACCGGTTTCTACAGCTCGTACGCGCACAGACAGCCACACTCATACGTGTGTAAGTGAATGCGAGCGGATTAACCCACTCGCACACACATGTGCCGCTCGATCAATACAGCAAGGCCGCATTCAGCTTGCGCTTTTTGGCAGCACTGGAATCCGCTGTCTTCGGTCTGCTTATAGTCACAACAGAGAGGCTGCATTGATCAACCAGCCTCAGCGGGCAAAAAAGGCTGTTCGCTGGCTTTTTAACATAGACCGTAGCGTCCTCATTTAGTCAGATTGTAGAACGAATTAATATCGCGTCTTCTACTGTGACTAGAAGGTCATCTTTCGCGGTAGTCAGCTCATTCACTGCCTTCCTTCCAAGCCGTTTAGGACACCGTGTGATTTTCTCAGCCTGTAACACTTCGGCCAACCATTCCCTTTGCGCTGAGGCTTTCGCGAATACAGTGCTCGCCGGCGATACCCCAGAGATCAGTTCAGCCATATAGGAACACACCATCGGGCCGCACTGATTGGACCCCGGCAACTGAAGCTGGACAATCGGAAACACTGCGGTGACCGGATTCTGTTCGCCACCGTACAGCATGGACAGCTGCAGTTGAACGTGCGGCGACAGCGGAGCATTCATACTGTTATACAAGCGAACTGTGTTCTCGGATGGCCTTTTGTGCGACAGTACAAAATGGTTTGAGCCATACAGGGCCTGGATACATTCCATTCCTGCCGCCAGATCATTCTGTATGCGCCTTACCTCCTCCGCGTCGGGATTGCAGATGGCAAGGTCGCCTGGATCTGCGAGGCCGGTAAATCGTCCTGGATTTCCTTTTTGGCATAGATATGAGAAGATGCCGATGACTCTGTCATATAGCATCCGGCCAACCGCCAGGACATCAGCCAAGTCGCTGTCGTAAAGGTTCAGCGGCACTCCTATGCCGTTTTCACCCAGGCCCACAGTTTTGAGTTTTATTTGCGGATGTACGCCAAAACGTGCCACACGCATAACAGAATTCGAACGTCCGGAAAGTTTCGCTGCAGTCCGCCTATTTCATTGTAGTCTTTATCCACGAATACGGTCTCCAGCAGTCTGTCAAGAAATCATGGCATATGTGTATTTTTACAGTGCGGTAATCACATTGGTATGTACGATATCTAGGCGGTTGCTTACTTCCAATCTGTGTGACATGCTTTAAATGCCTGGAAAAAAGCATCCAAGTTTTCACCCTTCTCAGAAGACATTAGCCCCAGTGCCGCCGGCCTTCCTCTTCCATGTCGGTCCTGCACGACAACGGCGTATAAGCAATAATTCTCGGCGTTGATTTTGTAAGTTCCGTCGATAAAGCACAAAGATGGACTGTCCCGGAAATTCTTCTGCATTTCAGATGTGATGATAGTGATATTGTTGACCTTTCCGGTGTCAGAGACGACCACATTCACGAAAACGTTTGGATCTTTCACACGTATTTCGTTTAAAACGTGATTAACCATTCCCTCTTCCGTACAGCCACCGCGGTCCACTTTTTCCGCTTTGTTGCGGACATTTTGTATGTCTTGGGCTGTTACAGCTTTGCCGGTCTCTTTAGCAATTTGACGTTGAATTGCCCGTGCAGGGATGAATGATTTCTGCATTTGTACTACCTTTTCTGCCTGAACATGGCTTAGGCGACGATTTTCCGGTAGATTTTTCCACCTGTCTGCTGTCAGTGGATGATTATGGCCCATTTCTCGTTCCAGTATCCGTAGGACGTTGCCGCGAATGCTGGCTGCAAGCCTGACGCGAGCTGGGCACTGGTTTCGTCGGCTATGAGTGAATGTCCGAGCGCCAACGCCCTTCTTTTCGTATTCTTTGTGGTGCACGCATTCGTAGAAAATCTTTCTGTACTTAAGGGACGGCTCCAGTGCTTCTCCGTTCTTGAACTTTTCGGACCGTCGTATTATAAATGTTTGGAACGTTGCTTCCTGATACGTCTTGAAGTCTTTCTCGAATTCTTCAAATGAAGGGTATTCGTCCTTCAGGTCAGCGACGTTGTCGAGTGAGGGGAATACTAAATCAGTTAAGGCTTCCGATGGCCCCGATGCCGGAGGGCTGCTTGAACCCGCCATAATATGATATTTGCCGGTATTGAGAACCAAATTATTGATGCATATGTAATATGTATGTAAAACCCTATTACACTGACCTTTTGTTCAAAGTAAGTTTTTACGGTCATAGCAACTGCATAAAATAATAGAATAAATTTTTGGAATATGTGAATTATTTTCCTTTCAGATAATACTATTATAACTTTTAATTCCAAAAAGGGTGCCTATAATAAACGGGGTGTGAAAAGGGGTGCCTATAATAAACGGGGGTTTTAGGGGGTGCCTATAAGGGTACCCTTTTATATAATACAATAAAATATTTTATGATAAACTCGTAACTGCATCATGCATGCATTCGCATTTCATTAATTCACCTGGATAAGGGTTTACTTCTCCAGCCGTTCCACCGAAGCCGAGCGATCTGGACACCAGACTCCATGAAGGCGACCATGTTGGCTACTTGAATCCACTGGAGCTCCAGCACAACGAAGTGCATCATTTGTCGCCACGCGAGAAGCGCTCATGGTGGGGAGATGTTATCGGTCATATTGTTGACCCGGTTGTGTCGGTCGGGCGAAACGTTGGATGCCGTATTGAGTGCTCCTGCGGATGGGGAAACTGCTGCCAGAGCGGATACGCGGCTAGCAGCTGTTGCACCAGCGGATATTCCCACTTCTGCTGCCAAAGTTGCCCGCGAGGATGATACTGCGTAAAACGGATAGTGCTTTTTGGTGCGCCCGAAATGAATAATGGCTAGGGGTAGCATTTTACCAAAATATTTTGATGGAATACCGCGAAAGCGTAACCTATAAAATACATTGTTTACATAATGTCCAACGGTGTCTTCTCGTGCTTTCATTTACTGTTTGAATGATAGTATAATTAGTATGGCAATACTTTAGCACTGAATGTATAGCATACAATTATAATCACATTCAAATGCTCATTTGGAATTATAAATGCATTTGGAATCAGAAGAAGTACGCAACATAAATATTCGCACAATAAATTCTGATGTCGTTATAAATTTTCTTATCAAGTTGTTCGAAACTTGGAGGTATACTACACGCCATCTCCCAATTATCCGGCACACGCACGGCATCACGCCATCTCCCAATAAAGACCGTCGTTTACATAAAAGTTTTGTTACTTATCGAGTTGGTAACATAGCCAGTTTACCGACCCCCGATACTTGTAATTAGCTTTGTATTTACGTAAATCTCATTACTAAACCCTATAATGGACATTATCCCCAGTCATCGACGAAGTGTTTCCATTATAAAGATTTATGTTTTATAATTTGACTTAGCTGCGTGTTACTTATGGCGCCGTATAAGTTCCGGTACAGTGTTAACAGGGCTTCATTGACTAGCTTATTTGCCGATTTGTGAAAGAAGAAATCACAATTCCTCTTCTAATACTCGTAATATAAACGATTACAAATGATAAGTAGGTGTAATAATATGTAACTCGTCGTCTAGCTGTTTTACATGACATTATCCATGTGCAGTACCTCGACAGTATTATCGAGATGTTTGTGTCTGTAGGAGCGATTGACGTCTTTGTGCTGCTGCCTGCCGTGGTCATGTCTCGTACTTCCAACTATATTGCTGCGCAAAACACCACAGTTGAGGATGTCACAGTTTTTCTGTGTTGTCCAGCACAAATCGTTTTATGAGACTTGCATTTATCAATCTCTAAACATTCTATTAAAACCAACCGTTAAAATTTATACAAAAGAACTATCGAAGGCTAATAAGCTCCACCATGAACACGATCACACCCTTTCCTATCTGCTCCCGGCTTCATTCTCCTCATCATCAAACCCCGCATTATTCACCCCACTCGGCTCATTAAACAATCCCTGAAGAGCCGGTCGTCCGGACGGAGTACTCCGTACATTGCGCTGCTGTCCGGAGGAACTCACCGACGATCCATCGACCATTATCACCGTCGGCTGCTGAGTATTGGCGGGCTGCGGTCCATCCTTAGCACCCAGAGTCCGCATCCCTTTCTTCTTATTCCGACTGCTGAATTTCTTCTTTAGCCCCAACACCGGCGTGAACGGTGACGAGAAGGACTTGACGCGCGCCGGGCGCCGTCGTTCCTCCCCGGGTTCTCCGGAACCCTGACTGTTGGAGTCGGAGACGTCTTCGTTTTTACTTTGCTGGAGCGCCTGGAAGCGCTTACGGAACGCCACGTCCAAGGTCCGGGTTTTGGCACGGGTCTTTCGGTGGTTTTCTAGATGTTGGATCATATGCCGGTTACGGTTGCGCACACTGGGATCGCCCTCTTCCGAGGAGCCGGTTAATTCTCCGCTTTCCATACTCATCAGTTCATCCTCATCGATACCACGCAATGCTTGTAGAGCGCGCGCAATTTCCACCGCGTTCTTCTCGATAAACTCATCATCGGAAATATCTTTGATATTTGGCCGACAGCAGAATAATTCTGTGGACGCTAGAATATGTGAAATGGTACCGAAACGATGGAACAACATGGCAATGAACTGTATTACCAAGATCAGTAAGAAGAAAAATACGAAGACCACACCAATCGGTTCGAGTTTGAGATAAACCAGCTCGGTTTTCGGACACAGTGTAGTTTCCACCGGAACTGGTAGCGCTGATAGGTTCTTCGTTAAACTGGCTAATAACCCATACATAGCCGGATCCGCCATGCCCTTTGCCATTCCGAAGACACTCGTACAATTAACCCATGTCTGGTTCTGTCGGAATCCGATCGGCCACACGATATGCAGTTCGTCCTTGCGCAACTGCAGCAGGAACACAATCAGCACGAACAGGGAATTAATCATGAAGAATCCCAGCGCAACTTTATTTCTTAAGGCTTTAAGTTCTCTGGACACACGGACGCGCTGCTCTCCATCATAATCCAATGGATGCAGATATCGGATTATCAGGTCTTTCCAGAACAGCGTCTCATTGGCGGTCAGATAATCACAATCCGCCAATCGCAATGACCGTTCGTCCAACCATGAAGGATGCAGTGGGTTGCCGTTATTCATAGGGACCGGTGGTTGATTACGCGGGAAGTTCATACGAAGATTCCGTTCCATGGTGTTGAGATTGCGATAGTCCGGGATAAAATGTGGTTCCATCTCCACTCGTAATCGCCGATCGATCTGCTCCATCTTCATCTTGAGTTCCTCGATGCCTTGACAGAGCACCTGGGTCTTCTCGGATTCCGGCTTCTGATGCATACAGAACATAAACTTGCACAGGTTCCCACAGCCGAAAACCACGTTGCCGTCTTCTTGTTCGGGAACCTGACCGGGATTCTGTTTCTTCCGCCACCAGTTAAAGATGAGATTGGTTTTCTGGGGTTTATCGTTAGTTACGGCGTCGCTTTCTCCGTTCAGCACTTCACGCGTTCCCCACGTCACGATATTTAAATTCGTTAGAGAATAGATCATTAGCAATAAATACATGGCCGGTATCGCTAAGAAGTACTCCAATCCATGCACGATACACAGGAACTCTTGTGGATGCAGACACGCCGCGAGGAAGAATGTTCCCACCAATGCTATCATGAAGATGGTCCCGGGTGACGCAATCCCGTCGTCTTTGATCTGGATGGCCGTACCCACCGCCACGGCCATCATCAGCATGGCGTACGCACCGGATAGAACCTTCGCGAACAGCAGCTGTATTTTCACATTCCCGATGAAGCAGCACGCGATAAACAGCACAATGGGCGTGGCATTGGCCATGAAGGATGTCCAGTTGTCGATCTTGAAGGCCGCCACCATGGCACCGCAAATCATTAGGAAGATGGTGCCGGCGGAGAGTACTGTGCCGATCATCATGGCGGTCTGGTACAGAATGTACAGTATGGAGATGTTATCGTTCGCTTTAATGGTGTGCCGGTAATCCAGTAGCAGATCCATAATGTTGGCTAGTGTTGACGGGATCCATCGGCGGCGTTGGTTAAAGAACTCGTTAAAGCCTTCCGGAGCGTGGGTGTATGCGTCGGCGGCGGCGCAGTATTCTACGCGGTAGCCGCGCTGCAGGAGGAGGGTGCACAGCCAACGGTCTTCGCCTTGATCGAATTGTACGTAGTCCATGGCGCGCTCCGAGCGGGTGGTGTACTTGCGCATAACGTTATCGTCCATCAAGGCTTTAGCGCGGAACAGACTGAAGCAACCAGGACTACACAGGACGCAACCGATCATGTGCTCGGTGGCTTTTTGCAGCCAATGGCCGATCGCGTATTCGAATTTCTGGTACCACACCATCGGGCCTAAATAGAAATCACAAAATATATAGATCAAGGATTTTTAATGTCTTGAAAAACAATAAGTTCTTAATCGACAGAAAATTTGAAGTAATTTAAGCAAATCAATTGATTTATTTAGTTATCCAAATTTTTAGAATAGGTTACAAATTTTTACAACATTAATAATGTTTATTTTCCGATTAATAGTTTTCAAGTATTTTTTACAGAACCAAGAAACGCAATTTTCTTACACAAAGATAAAAAGATCGCCTTTACTGTGCAATTTGTTTAGAATTTTTTATGTGTTTCGATGCTTTTATTTTCTGTGTATTTCTTGTAATTTGGTAAGATAGACCACAGAATAATTTAAGTTATGTGGTATACCTCCACCGGTAGGATGGATGCGTCCACATGCCGCGCCCACTTTCGGATTCTTCTTCATCAAATCCACTAGTAACTGCACCGCATGCGGCATAAAATCAATATCCCCGTCCAACGTCAGAATATACGTGTTTTCCGCAATAATATCCTTGCGCGCCACATCCATTTCCTGGTCCATCAGCCGGTGTCCCAGTAAATAGTACCAACACATCACCTGTAATTCCACAACACAACAAACCCATTCAGTCAAGTGCCATGTGATATCACTACGCATAAAAGACTTCCGCGCACTTGACTCCATCGTTTTCGCTGACGAATCTTCGCCGTATCTTTCAGATGCACCACCAGAGTGTTTTTCCCGGGCATTGTCCACACCAGGCGACCGCCATAGGGTGTGGGAATTTTCCGTGGTGGGCGGAGATAGACGTTACACTGATGGACGGCGCTAGCGGCTTTATCGATGACCTCCAGGAGTTGTCGCACGAAGCGATTCATTACACGTGTTTCGCCGCTGTTCAGGGCGTCGTTCGGAATCGCTTCGAATGCGTCATCGAAGATAATGTGCGCTGCAAATATAAATATTATAATTATTACAAATATTAATACAAATATAAATGTAAATATAAATATTATAATTCTTACAAATCTAATTCGTATTATTTTAACAGCGATCAGTAAAAAAATAAACTTGGCGAATAAGCGGGAGAACAACAATCGGTCGTGCAATTATGGGCGCTGGAAATAAGCATTACCTTCGAATTCATAATAGTCAGGATCCAGTCCGTTGATAAACTGCAGTGCATTGCGGCGCGCGCTCTGATCTTCATCCATGCGCATGATAGACTTGAGCACCTGCATCATTTCTCCCGTGGTTTCGTGCCACATTGTTGCACAGGCAAAGATCTTGGTCACGCTGTCGCATCCCTTCCCGAGATCATCGATACCGGGTCGCAGCTTATCCACACCGGGTGTTTCGTACATCTCGTCGCCAATCACTGGCTTCTCTTCAATCCGCTTGACCAACTCCTGCATATACAAAAATAGTTCGAAAAATTATTTATCATTTTATCTCAAACATAAAAGGATATTATTCGTACATCGACTTGGACGTCCGGATCTTCGTCCATCCTCCGATTTAGGGACAGTGACTGATCCACAAGGAGGCCTTCGTACATCGGAATAATAAACAGTCTAAAAAAGAAAGCCGGTTGTCAGTAATTGGTCCAATAATAAAAACTTGTACAGTACCAATTCAATTATTATTGATTTATTTAGTTATCGATTTTTAGGTATTTAGTTATTTCAACTTTTTAGGTATTCAGTTATTTCATTTTTGATAATCATACCACAGCACTGTTTTTGACGTCCAGGTACCTGTCGGTTTTTGCCAGACGCTCCGCTTTAGGTATCCATATATGCAGCGTAATCCAGGTCTGCGAGAACAACCATAAAATCCACACCCACGTCTGATCGCGGAAGAACAGATCCTGAATGACATCCCCATGGAAGCACGTCCAATACAGCGACTCCGGGATAGCATTGGTCAGAAAACACCCATTCCCGGCGCGCATCCCACAAATGGTAATCAACAGCGACGCCACCGCCGGTACTGTCAAACTTAACGGAAACGCAAAGGAGAACCGCTGCATCCCGATTTTACAGGCAAACTTCGCGGTCTGATAGCAGATATAACTGGCGATAACCTGCACCAGCAGGACCCACAAGGAGATATACTGCTGGATGATCGACGGATGGGTAGAGGGCGCCGGCGTGGTGGTGCCGCTAGTGTTAAAGGTCACCGGCAGGGTGATAGGCTGGTGGCGGAAGGGGGTGGCGGTGAAGTTGAAGAGCGCCGGCACGCCGATGGAGTAGTGTGCCCAGGCCGTCATGGTACCCAGCATGACCAAGGCTTTCCACAGGGAGATGACGAGGTAGGTAACGTAGCGGGATTTCCGCAGGATCTCCTTCCGTTTGGCGATGTTGCGGACGAACTCGAAGGAGGAGTCGGTCCGGCACAGGAAGTTCTCCCACCACGGGATGGATGTGAGGACGAAAGCGATGGGCCAGGACCAAAAGTCTTTGACGTCGGAAAGCGCAAGGGGCCACAAGACGATACCAGAAATCTGCAGAAGTTATTGACAATCTCACTCTCACAGTTAATTTCTTTTATAGTTTTTCATGTTTATTTGTAAATTTGAAAAAATTTCGACATTGAGTTTCTTGCAGCCTTTTTGCTAAGCGCCTTGTCGGATTTGCTAAATTTTAACTGCATCTGTATTGTAACAAGGTATGGTATATCAAAACGTAGTGCAATGGCTTATAACAGACAAAACATCCAATATCATTTACGACGAGGGTATTCTGTTAAATTTAAATTTCGAAGGAAGTCAGCTGAAGGAAAATATATTTTTGTTCGAACAATATTTACTCTGACTTAGCGAGCATTAATTATAAATTTTTGGGCACCCATTCAAAACCGTTAGCTTTACCGTCCGTTCAAACAGGTGGTCTTCTATGCAATCGAACATTCGAACCATAATTTATCAGATTTAGCATAATTGTTGATTATTTAGTATTGTACATTCGGTAGTTTTACTTTTTCTTAGTTTTTTTTTTATTTTTTTTTTGTTTATGCTTAAAAACTTCGGTGCCGCAAATATAAATAATAAAAGTTTGCAAGCATCTTCATACTTGAGCCGTCAATGCCAAAAGATCCAGTATAAACTTGAGCAAGCGTCGGCTTTCGCCGCGTGATCGCGCGAAGAACTGCAGTATTGCCGGCACCACACAGATACAGTTGGTCAGCATAGCGCCTTTGACCGCATCCAATCCGGGCAGCACTTGAAAGAACAGCGTTCCCAGTCCGACCGTGTGCAGTGTTTCCGTCAGGAGCGTCTAAAAATAGGTACCCCTTAAAACTATGCGTGAGCATGACTCTTGAACATATTCCCGATTACAAACACGTGACATTTATACAGCACGGTGAACCTGACAATTAATGATTTACAGGTGTATATATACTCACAATGCAAAACAGACCAAAAGGCGGTCGCCGGTTGCGCTTGAAGAAAAAGTGCCGCAGACAGGAGCAGAATGTGAAGAACTGCGGCGCCCAGAAAGCGAACAACAGAATCCAGCGCCAATAGACAGCTTCCGTTACCGGCAAGGTTATCGTACCTGTTCACAAGCAGAAATCGGTTTGCAATAGGTCAATCAACTAAACAAAATTTTGGCGAATCGTGGATGAACATAATTAACAATCTTCTACGCTTAGCGATACATTTGTGGCTATTTGCATTTTATGCAGTCGGCTTACAATACTGACCATAAACAAAAATCCTAATGTGTACCAACTACATGTAGTTAATCATTTACAAAATCATCAAATTGTAATACTTAATTGTCGGTCTTGCGCTTTAATTCCTGAACTGTAAGTTTTACTTAGCAATTTGCGGTATGCCATGCTTTTCCGTTTTCATACTAAAAATCTGATTTTCTTTTTATTAAATGCACGTGCTTCCGGATTTTCAACATGTTAGAATAAATTCAAAACATGTTTTGGTGTCCATGAGCCAGTTTTCAGCTGCGTTTTCGGACACCCAGTGCGCAGGAAGGATATTTCCCTTGTATTTATTTTTTTATCCCAGCTTACCAGTTCTTTTACAGGATTGCACCCGTTTCCCGGCGTCCAATTGGGAGACCATGAGCAATACGGTGGACTTGGAGATGACCGCGGCGATCAGTACCAGCAGGAACGTGATGACATGGACCACCGATTTAACAATCTGCAGGCAGATCTCGATGCAGGCTCCCTGGCGCTGAGTGTTCTCGATGGCATGGGGCACCGTGCGGAACACATCCCAGCCGGCACGCATGTCCGCCGCACTGCAACCATGCCGGCGCACACACTCAGACTAAGTAATGTACATTTCAACGCATTAATGCACGGGTAATTCATTGACCATCTCCAACATTATTAATCAGTGCGCGCACGCGCCGCGCTTCACTGGGAATCACCCGGTACGTGGGACCCCTTCTTGACCAGATTACACGGTGCGCTGTGTAGCGGTCAAGTGCCGGGATTACACCGTTCACTGCGCGGCGCTTAAGATGGCTGTGAACCGTTGCCGGCGCCGGTTGTGGCCATTAATTGCCGATTGTGTATTCATTAGATTAAGCTTGTCGTGGCTGGTCAATATGAGAAATTTTAAAGTACCTGTCAGTGATGCGGCCGGGAATGCCGGCAGCGGATGTCTCTTCCAGCCGGTCGCCGGATAATGATGCCGGTACATTGTTGGCACTGCCGCGTAATACCGATGCCGATTCGTAATGCGAATGCAGATCATCTTCCGGGTGTCCAAAGGCCGTCACTTTTGGGTGGTTACCCTGAAGAATAAAGGAGTTATTAGTTTCGTAGCAGGACATTTTTCATAAACGTGTTAAAATATTTAAAAAAATTCTGCTATTTAATTTTGCTATCACTGTATAAACATTTTCTAATTTTAATGACGATTTATTATTAGTTTAATTTTTTTAAATTTTTATTTTTTAGATTTAAAATTAATTATTTTGGAACAGTCGTTTATGTAATAGTTATTGTCGGCGCGTCCAGCGGGGTGCAGCGATACCACTTGTTCGTATACAAAACTTCAAACCCGGCTAAAAAGCTCGGCGTGTATTGACAAACACCGGTTTAACCAGACTGTACGCGTATGCCGGCGATCGTCAATTTCTTGAACTTGTTCTAAGAGTGTAAGAAAACAATCCATTTCCACGACAAAGCACACACATCAGCGTTTATTTATTGATTCCCTAACATCCGAATTCTTTCTCAGCCAGTAGTGCCGAATATATCTGTCGTCGTCGGCTGGTGGTTGTGTGTACGTGTTCGTTTACATGTGTGTGTGTTGAAAAGCGAGCGGTATGACACATATATTGTGAAACGGAGTACTTCCGTAGTCGGATGGAATTTCGTTTGTCCTGTTTGCGGTATTGTCGGCTGTCGATTACGTGATGAAATTGTGTTAGATTTCAGGTAACGCTATACACCTGACCACATCACACTGCATCGGCATGTGCTGGCTAACATATAACATTGTAACGGTTTCAATTAAATACTGTAGCCACTCCATACATTCTCGCATTGCCGCAGTTTACTTCATATAACACAATGTAAAAATAGTTATTAAAAATGCACATAATTTAGTTATATACTGCTAAATTAAATACAACACTTACATCTATAAAAGTCGCTTAATCTTAAAATACTGTGTTTTGCGTTGACGTGATTACAAAAAAATGTGGGCAGTGGGTTTATCTTACGCTTATTAATTTTATTCGCCTTGGGCAAAACGTTTTACTGAAATAATTTTTAAAGTGAACTAACAGAATAACAAATGATAAAACTATATTATTATAAAATTATTTTATTGACTAATTTTAGATGAACATTTTGGCAGCAAATATTATTCTGAATCAGTTTTTGTTGTGACAAAATTCGCCCGCCAATTCACCACCATTTCCGGTTTATTATCCCGGGCTCCAGACAAAGACCATTTTTCTAACTGTAGTGCGCCGGCAAAAAAACGGTACATACGATTTATTCAGGCACCAACGCTGTGTATTATGAAATCGATGAGCGGATTTTGGCACATACTCCATTATTGCACGTCAGCTTACTGTGTTTGGCCCGGCACTATGAAGGCGACAAACACTGTTGGCAGCGGCTTTTACGCACTACCTTGAATTGTCATAAATGTCCGATCGCTTTTACTGGATAGCAAACGGCTGCAGTACAGTCATCAACTGGCAACATAATTAGCCTATGTACTAGATTTATTATTTGTATAATTTGTTTTGCCGTGGTCAGCACACCAAGGCCGACGACATATCAATGCAACACCTCGTGCTCTTTGGTTAAGAAATGACGTGTGTTTTCTCTGCTTCTTCTATAAGCTTTCTTAAAGAGTTTTCTCAAACTACAGTCTGTACACAATGTATAACAATTTTTTAATAAAATGACTATAATAGTACCCAAAAAATAATTTTATTTTTTCGAATGTAATTTTTGGTTTTTTGGCACCGAATCTATTCTTTAAGAATACAATTTTATTTTGGTCACTTGAAATTTTGGTGCTATTCCAGAGTGCATCCTTAGGAATTTTATTTTCGGCAGCTAGTGAAAAAACCTTTAAATTAGCCGGCAACGGAAACCTGATTGCCGAACTGTTCTTTCAAGTGCACGACAACATAATTAAAAATCACCACAATTAACCACACAATTCGCTGAGGTTAGTAACCGCGTGTGCGGTGCAGTTGCTATTATAATTTTGTACTGAATGTGGAGATGATTTAATACACTGTTGACATAGCGCCGAACTGTACCGTGTGCGCGTATATAGCGGACTGGTAATTGTTTTTGCGTGCATCCTCAGCGGTTATAATTGACAGTTCATTCCCACTGTAAACGGCAGGTAAATATGGACGAGCAGCGGCATGAATAAATCAGGCGCGCAGGATGTAGATCGGCGATCGCCGTGGCCACCGGTGTAGACGAGCGTTACGCGGTCATTTAACCGCCGCGGTGCATCCACCGTTATCGGTGCACAGGCACTCGTGAATAATTTCTTCACTTTGTAAACTATTACAATAAACTTTACAGGAGCAAGGCACACACCGGTTAACACAGTTACATCCCTGATTGCCTGTGTTGTACAATCGCTACTGCAACATTTATTTTGTACGAACATGTGTACCGGTGTGACAGTACCGTAAAATTAAATCAAATGAATCTAAAAACAAAAATTTTTGCAAAATTCTAGCTATACCATTTACAAAAAATAATTAGCACTAGTTTTACTGAACAGGCAAATACTAAAAAAAGCTTTGTATCCGAAATGCCAAAAATATTCAATAAAAATTATATGCACAGTTTTGCCGTTTGTTTTAAAAATCGCAAGTTTTAGTGTAAATAACAACAACAAACAGTAAAAAAAATTCAAAATTAAAATAAGATGTTTTTTTTTCGAGAAAAAGAGTGAAATGAAGTGAATGCGCAAATTTTTCTTAGCTGTCAGTGACGTAAAATTCTTCAAGACGGACGGATAATTTTCCTTGGAAGGTTTCTCACCGGACTGCATCTTTAGTTTCCAGTTATGGATTTAATAATGTGTAAAAGGCCGATTATGGCGAGCATTGTGAAAATGTCAGCCGGTGTGTACACTGGGTCACGCAGTTGCCGGCAACCGGCTACTGAACGTGTGACCAGCGTTAAGGCTACCACAACGACCATTGCATAATCTGGCTTTCATCATAAAGCAAAGAAATATCTTACAGTCGCCTCAAGGCCGTCCGGGCGTCTCAAGCCGCACTATAACAGCGGATACTGACGCTAATCACAAGTATTTTCGGAAATTCCACTAATAAAAACTCTTACATTTGGATTAACACTTCACTCGTGATTTTTGCATATTGCTGATCTTTGCCATCCTCCGATAAAACTAGTGTAACACCGCGTAAAATAAATGTGGTGGTACATTTCGCATGATTATAGGGCAAAAATAACACAATGATTTTATACTATACTCTGTACGCTGCTAGCTTTTCAAATAAGGAAACATACAGTAAAATCAGTGGATATTTCAAGACACAACAGATGTTGCAGTCATTATTACGCTTGATAAACATATCCCTTACCAATTTCATTACCAAAGGAAAGAACTATAAAATTATAAACTTTTTCTTAAATTTAAAAAACAAATTTAAAGCCTGCATATAATTTTTTACCGTGCGTTTTTTATCTTTGCACCAACTTTTGAATCTACTCGATATAGTATTTTCTTATAGAAAATCACCGAAGTGAAACGTGATCAACACGGAAGCCGAATACATAATGTCCCGCGCTTACCTGCGTCTGCACATCCGAGACGTAGGCATCATTCACAGTTCCCGGTGCATTATCCTCATGTCCCGCCGGCTCACCCCCACCGCCGCCACCACGTGCTTCTCCACTGCGCTGCTTACGTGAGCGCCGCACCAAATTGTGCCGTATCCGATTCCAATCGCGCTGACTCCGGCGGCGGAACAACTCCCGGATATGTCCCTCGCGGCGGGACGACATAACCTCACTGCGTGTATTTTTCCCTCAAAAGGTCATCCCGTCACCATTTTTCTTCCCAACGCAACCGACAGCAAAGAAGACAAACGGTTACTGGCGCGACGCTAACTTGCTCGTTCGGCAGCTGAGTCAGGGTGAGTTAGGGATCTTCTTCTATGTGATTCAAGCACAATCAGCAAGCAGATGCCAATGTTATAAGAGAGAGAGCTTCAGCTTAGGTAGCCTCTGTAGCAATCCGGATGTCGTCGTCGTCGGCAGCCAGCTGAGTGTTGTCCGTTGCGCATTCATGTCCCTCTCTCTGTCTCATTCAGCCACAGAGCGCCGGCTTGTTGTTGTGTGAATGACGTAGTGGTTAGCTGGTCGATGAGTGTACCAGTGGAAGTCTTTAAGGAGCTGGGCCGTGCGGCATGAGTGGCGAGAGAATGAGAGAGATGCACCGCTCAGCAGTGTGGACCGGGTAATCATGTACTGTTGGTCATCGGTATGTTACGCTATGGACCTGTTGGTGCGCGGCGCAGTCGCTGATTGTGTATTACCGGTAGACACAGGAAACTGTATGCCGATGATGGAAACACAGTCGCTGTGTTTTTTAACCACAGTCGATGGGTTGGCGAGTGCCGGCATAATGTCCAACCGACAACCGATATGTCTGCATGCAATAATCGTATCTTCTTACCTTTCATTGCTACTTATGTTGAAGAAAATGGATACCAAACTGCCTCATTACAACATCTTGGATTAATTACTTCCAGTTAATACCATATAGTGTTATTCACCAAAGTGGATAACATTTTTGCTGCCGAATTTGAAAATAAAAAATCGAAAACTTTTTTTATTAATCATAGTGCGGGTCGTCCTTAATGAGCGCTATTTTTTACCGGCTCGAAATTGCCCATTGAGACGGTGCTTTACAAATGTCGACGAGCAAGCGCACTGGTTCTTTGTTACAGTGAAAGTTTTCATTAGTCACGGTCATGTAATGGTAAAATTCGTGTCAGGAACAGCTTGTTTGGGGATCGTTTAACCCAACTGACCCTCTTGGAGGATAAATGTAGCCGCGCGTGACGACTGAGCTGCTTATTGCTTGTAGCTTATCGAGGTACACATTCCTCAGTGGCGTATTCAACGATCCTCGGCCATGTCGGCAGAAATAGACTAACTTCAGCAGACAGTAAAAAACATTAAGAAAGTGATGCAGAGAGAATAAAAAACAATCAAGCTATTAAAAATTTGAATAATTAAACCATAATAAAGTTCTTCAAGGATTTTTTGAATAGCGGTTTGTATGGTTTGAATTATACAGAGGTTGAAATGCTTCATTTAAGACGAGATTCACTGATCCTAACAGAAATTCAGCCACCATAACCCTTCTTTATTTATTAAGTTATTCTGCCTAATCAAGAAATTTTCACGCAGTTTGGAGTTTTGTCCGTGTCTTAGAAACTGTCGGTTAGTTCAAATTATTGCTCAATTAATCATAATCGCACCATCCCGCAGAAACAAAAAAACGGTGCTAAAAGTTTTGTGAATTTCAGATGTCAATAGTGCACTGACAATGTCCACTGTCCAGTGGACACTGTCAGTGCATAAGATGGCAGTGTTCACTGTCCACAAGTGCATCATGATGCACCAGTGGACAGTGGACACTGCTAGCTACTTACTTAAAATTAGTGTATTTGTACTTAATTCTCAGTGCGTAACGACTAACGACAATGGTATCGGTTTTGCCACTCGCTTTATTGGTACTGTAGGTACTTAGATTGTATAAATTCATTAATCCCTTGGAAGATACTTTATATGTAGGTATTTGTAATGAAATGCTACATATAATATGTACAGATCCATGGCTAATTTCTACATCCTTAAAAACTGTTTAAATCGATAAAATTAATGAAAGCAAAAAAACTGAACTATTTGTAGGGCCTGCACAGAGTACCAGATGATATTATAACAACACAGGGACAATTACAAGTGTCATACTTCCGTTGTACTTCAGAGTACAATATAAATATATATATAAAAATCTAACATATCATCAGAAAAATATATTTGCCGACAATTTGTCGCATCATTTTCTTATCGATTCCCAGAGGTACATGTTGTGGCAAAAATGTGATGAAAATTCATGTCATACTGTGGACGGAGGATCCCGTTTTTACTGGAATTCCTCACTAGCAACCGCAAATTATTCCATTCGTTCCTCCATACCATCTAAAGCGATGTGTTGTTTAGCACAGCACAGCGAGCGTCCCCTTGTTGCAGCTCCGAAATGATGACAGCGTAGCTCAAAAGACTGGAAAATACCTGCATACCGTTAATAATCGTTACAGAAGCGATCACACATGCACAAGAGTTGGGAACTTGGGATAGAAGCATATATATTACAAGAAAGACCAGCTATCCCTTGCCGCGGGGCGGTGTGGCAGGATATGGTCAAGCTATACTTATTTACACCACTGTGCAATACAGCTGTATATACCGTTAATTATTATTATACTAATTTTTAGGTCTAAACGTTTTTGCGTTTTCTTTAAGTGTGCATTTGTGCAAGTTGTTCTGCTTATAGCATTTAGCAGTACAGCGGAATGCAGGTTTGAGTATGACAAAATTAATAATCTGCTTAAAAATTGTTGGGCACACCAGTCAAGCCGCTGTGAAATTACACAATGCAGAATAGCGCTACTATAACCGGTATTTGATGTTGTCGGTTAGTACCGGGCATCAAAAATTGTACTTACAGCAACCGCTGATTCCCGCGTCAAACGGATACCAGCAACCGTGATTTGTGGACGCTGCTCTTGCAATCCTTCGACACGATGTTTTAGGGAACGACAACCTGTTTGATTGTGGTTATTTGTTTCTTTGATATATTTCGACAAGGTGCAGTCCATTCGCTGCTCCTAAAACGCAAAACACATTCGGAAAGTTTCGCGAAAACTACAATGTGTAGTATACAAATTGAGTACCTGTTCATTTGCATAAATTAGAACAGCCACATGGACGAAGATCGCCGCAAAATTACTTAGAACTCGAGCATACATCAAAATACCGACGGATTCCGGTCTACTAAACGCACTGCAGTACTGATAGATAACGAACAGTATTCGAGTCAGTCGCTCCGCTAAACATACGCCATGCAGCCATTGAAAGCTGCTATCATAATCGCAAACCGCTTTGTGAAATACTGCGCAGCTTTCCAAACGCGCCTCAATTAACTCCACTTTTTTGGTGTTCCTTAGCTCATGGTTTACGCGATACAAAATCCGCCCGGTTATAAAGGTTACTACGTAGAAATAGCAGTGAACAAACATTTTTCCAGTGGTTGCCAGCCCAGCAAAAACTAGGCCGACAGTTGATAAGATTCTTTGTGTGGTACTGGAGAGAAGAATGTATTTATTAAGGCATCCGAAAGCGTCTTTCATGTACATGCTACCATTAGCTTTTTGAAGTTCAGTTTCAATGATAAACGACCAAGTCGCTGTGGCTGGAATAACTATAACAAGTGCAAGAGATAAAAGTACAGTGAATTGTACATCCCTTTGGCTCAAATACTTTGCACAAAAATGGCTCAACACTTCTGTGAAATGGCAAAGAATGTTTTGGTGGTGCCAGAAAACACCGATGCCGATCAGGTAAATAACTGGTATGAGGTAACCGTGAATATGCAGCAGGGATTCCGTCAGATTGGTCAACCTCTTGGGATTTGGAGACATTTCTAAGGAATCCAGGACGTTAGCCACGAACTGTAGGGTAACGAAACAGCAAACAGCGGCATTCTTTAGTTTACTGCAAAGGGCGCCGTGACCTTTCTGCAGGCCGCCGTATCCAAAGATTTTGAGCGCTAAAAACCAAAAGGTCAAAATCTTCCACTCATTCCCCATTGTGATTGGTTTCGTTAATCAGGGAAAAGCAAAACAGCCTTGCGAATATTATCACAAGTTAAAGCACAATATTTAACGGTTCTGTGAATACCTTCCGTGCAGCATCGCCAGACAGTGAACAGTTTCGCAACAGCACTTGATCGACACGGTTATAAGGACTCGGCCTATGGTGCAAAATATGACGAGAGGCAGAACGTTTGCTCAGCTGCCTTGTCATGTCTCAGTTTGCGGAAAATAATCCAAACTTTCTACCAGGATGAACGTGACCTGCCAGTTTTGACCCGTGATGTAGCCTTGGAGAATCATCTGACCATGATTGTTAACCGAAAGGCTTGGTTAATGTTACCGCTTCCGGAATCCACTGGGGGGTGCTGGAACCCTGGCTGCTGGGCGGCTGGTACTCTCGTGATCGGCTGTGTGCGGTGACCCTGGGTCAGCGAGAAGCCGGCCGACCCAGGGTCGGCGCAAGAGAGCGACCAGTGCCCTGCGCAACCGAAGGCCCCAAACAAACCCCAAACAACATCCATGATTAGACGTCTGGATTGATTACGTCTGTCGGCACTTGGCTCCGGAAATAGATGGCAGCACAGTTGCTTTTCCAACGTCGCTGGACCCAGCGGTAGCGGCTGTTGTCGTGCCTCAGATGCAAAGCGATGGGTTTCGTGACGGTGGTGGCCAGGTAGGAGGCGCAGCAGATGATCCAGCGTACGTTCAACGCGTTGACGAGTCAGGTAAGCTCTGCTAGACAGAATAAAAACTGCCCGTCCTTGCTCGAGTTCAAGTCTTAGCCGCGCGTATGTCGTGAGAGCATGAACTGGATAGACTGAGCGCCCTGTCTTACGCAGTGATAGCTTGTAACCATGACTGGTCCTACTGTTAGTCGATGTAAAGGACACGAGGATACTGTCGCCGATGCGTGTGAACGAGGATAATGTGATGTCCTTGAGGAGCAGCGTACGCATGGTAAGTTGGTGATGATGCCGTGTACTTGCTGACTCCCCGAACCCGCAAAAGGTTGTGGTGAAGGTAGCACACAAGAGATCTTGTGATTGATCTTGTAGATCTTGTGATTGATGGTACCCAGTGATATGCAGACGTTAGTCGCGACGGTTTCGAGATAACCGCTGGTAGCCGTGCATTGCGTGATTTGCAACAAACGTATGCACTGGATAGAGCAACTTGGGCAGGAACAAGATATGCAGTAGCAAGAGCAGGGTTTCCACTGTCGCCGGCAGGCTGCCTTCGCCATGCGCTCGGCAGTATACAGTAAACCGATGACGTCCGGAGCCGTTCATACTGCAGGTGAACTGTGCTGTACGGGCGTCGCAATGGAGATTTTAGGTTTGTGCTAGGTGACGGAACCATTCCACCTTATCGTCAGAAATGGTGCAGT